GTTTAATCCTGTTCATATATCTAAAAATAAATTACTTTATTTTGGAAATACGTTCAGGTCACAAGTTTTCATTTCTCTTTCATGGCCAGAGTGATAGATCATCATTTTCTGAGATTTCATAATGCAAAGATCTTGAGTAAGAGATAATTTTGTGAGATTGAGCTGGTCTTAATTTCATAGAGTGAGTTCTTACATATTATGGTGGAGAATGCAGGCATTGTGCTAATCTTGGATTGATGAGATATTAATTCTGTTTATGAATCTGAAAAAAAAAATTATTAATTTTTCCCACATCGGCATGAGGTTTTTTTTTTAAAAATTACGGCTTTGCTTGTGTGTTCAGAATCAGTTCCAAGTACTGCAGACTTGGTTCTGTTAAAAATCTGTTTATCCTGGCAAATGTGTGTTTTGGACCCGCTGAGGTCCGGTTCTGGTACTGTCTCGCCGCCGCGCGCAGACAGTAGGTTACTGCTGGAGAGGTTCTGCGCCGCCAGACTCTAATGAAGCAGTAACCGTGTTTCGCTTGAGAAGCGACTTATTGCATGCATGTACTCATATCTGTGAAGGAATGAGTGAAATAGGATCCTTTTAAATCCAGTGTGTTCATACCGTTCGGGGTTAGAACTATAAGTCTGGTCTGGTTTCCGTGCGTAATTGCGCATATCCTAAGTGTAACCAGTTTGAACTCCACGACAAAGTTCTAAGGTCGCAACTTAGAAGCTGTCACCACGGTTTATATAAATAAACATAACGTGAGGGAGTTTTAGCGCCGTTAGAGGCTATAAGAAGCTTAAAGGTTCGTGGCCGAGGCGTTATACAGACGAATCAGTCTGTCCACTGAGTGTGGAGCGCTGTTAGCGCTAACGGGGAAGCTAGCTGATTTATTCAGTCTAAAGCTGCTGCGCGCAGAAAAGACTTGCCCTGTTATTCCGTGAGAGTCACGGATTTTAGCTTATAAATCGTTTGCCCTGCTCTGGGTTACGTAAAGCTAAATAAGATTACGCTGGGAAGCGTAAAAACGGAGTTTGAGCTCCGTAGGTGGAGAAGCTGCTGACTGTGGGTCAGAGTGCAGCCGCCATTTTGTGTCAGGAAGCACAACGTAGCACGACGTCACGACGTCATACGTAACCTGAACGTGAGTTCTCCCTGGGAGGGGGTGAAACGTCACGGGTTCTTTTCAGAGCTGTGTGTTGTGTAACATAGTCGCCATCTGCTGGTTTTTCGCTGTAATTACACACTCAAAGAAGGTGAAATTGTTTCATTTGCTTATAAAACGGAGAATTTAGCTAAAATCGGGCGAAAAATAGCATTTTCTTGCTCAGAAAAATTTCTTTAATTAAAGTTAAAGTTAAGAAAACAAAAAGCTGTTGTTTCCNGTGTGTGTGTGTGTGTGTGTGTGTGTGTGTGTGTGTGTGTGTGTGTGTGAGCAGTTTGTTTCTGCATAGTGATCCAGCAGACACTCGTAGGGAGAAAACACCCAAATCGACCAATCAGAAGCAGTGATCCCATTAAACAGCCCCGCCCCCTGCCCCGCCCACACAGGGCCCACTAGGGTCCAGCTCCTCTGTGGGACGTCCTGGCTGCAGTGTGTGTGGAAGGCAGTGCTCCTCAGAGTCTCTGGCCATGTGGGGAGGCAGGGGGGAGGAGTTAGAACAAGGGGGAGGGTAAAGGGGAGGAGCTTAAGTCTGTAAGGCTGAGTGTGAGACACCAACAGGGGGCAGAAGAGGACACAGCTGGATCCGGCTCAGAGTCATGTCTCCTGCCTGTAGAGGGCGCTCTCCCCTGTGAGGGGGGAGGAGTGCAGAGAGGAGGAGGGGTCTGCAGGAGAGCCGGGGCTCCTCCTGGGAGGAGAGGACGGGCTCGGCCAGGCGTGTCTCACACTAACACACACACACTCAGAGGTGAAGGCTTCTCCTCCTGATCGCTCTGCCGGCCACGTCCGTCTGTTCATTTCTTCCCCTTGTTGATCTGAGCGTAGAGAGGGTCCTTCCCCTTCTGTCAACAAGAGACAAAAACTGTTTTAAAGTCTGACTCTGCAGCTTTTACTTCACCTCTGAACACCGTCCTGATGGCAACAAACAAACACACAAACAAACACAAACTGACCTCAGTTTATATAGAGTATATGAATGTGAACATTTTGTTTATGAATTGAAATTACTAAAATTCTATGATTTGGTTGATTCTAATATTTTAGTGTTAATGTACAGAGCTCATAAAGGTGTGTTACCTTCCAACATTCAGGTAAATTTAGTTAAAGATAGAGCTGTTATTATCTTAAAGGAACAGAAATGTTTGTGAAACCCTGGTCCTGTACGAGCCTGAAGGAGAGATCCACTTTAATCCAGGGAATAAGATTATGGAACAACATGGAAGATGAGGTTAAAAATGACAGATCTTTGTATTTATTGAAGAGAATAATAAAAAATAGTATTCTAAAGAAATATGGAAAATTATAAGTGAATTCATGATAATTGTTGTTTGAGTTGGTGTCTTTAATTTTGTTTTTAGTTCATTTTTAAGTGTTTTGAGTTGTTTTGATTTTTATTGTATTTTTACTTTTCTTTTGAACATATTTTGGGTATAAAGATAAGATAAGATAAGATAAGATAAGATAAGATAAGATAAGATAGAACTTTATTGATCCCACAGTGAAGAAACTTGAACATTACAGCAGCTCAGAACAGTAGAGTTGCAGTAACAGGCTGACTACTGTGCCCACTTCCCTTGTGTGAAATTCACACAAGGGAAGATGAGGAAAAAAGCAAAAACATCATATTATATCAACACTGTGACACACTATGGTGTTTATGAAAAAACCTCTGCACAGAGCAGATTTATTAGCCAGAGGAGTAGGTGAGTTTAGTGGGGCTGAAGAATCCAGTCCCCAGACCAGCGCAGCCATAGTTCAGAATATTGATGGAAACAGTTCATTCTGTGCAGCTTTCAGCCTGCTCTAGAAAAAATGATTAGACGGGTGAGAGGAGGGGGGAGGTGGAGGACAGAGCCTTTTGTCGACACATTCAGCCAGGAAGAATTCAGCCAACAGATCCAAGGCCGTTGTCGGGGAGATCCAGATTGTGTAATCAGTTGTTTTGGGAACAGAAGACAAGCAGACGACAACAGTTTTCCATCTGCTTTAGAGTTCTGCTGGTACATCTCAAGGTGGTGAATCCAATCAGACAAATGGTATGGACAGATACCGCCGAGCCGATCTATCAGCTTTCTCCAACATCAATTCCATCTGGCCAGCAAAGTCCAGGGACCACAGCCGGCTCGCGACCCTCAATAGAACCACTTGCAGACCGAGTCCAGCTCACTCAAGGCCCAATGTCCGAGTGCTGATAGAACGGCAATCCTTCATATTGGTCAGGCAGCCAGCAGATGAAAAGCCACCAACGCTGATTTGTAGAACACCAGGAGACCACCAAGCCAATCTGTAGAATCCAGTGATCAGAGTCCAGATATAAAT